TTTTAAAAAATCACATATTGATCTCAGTTCAAAGGAAAAAATAAAACTTATTTCTAAATTTACAATTTTCACCTATAAACCTCTTAATTTCACAAAAGAGTGGGTTCTTTTTCAAACAAATACATCCTGCCTAATATATGTGTGTTTAGATTAGATCTTTTGCTTTAACTTTGGAAACTGAGATCATTTAAGATACTATTTCTGTATAAACTAAATTTTTTTTTTCATATTACTGTAAACCTAATGGGTTTTGATAAATTTACTCTGCACTACGGAATTTCCAATAAAAAAAAAGAAAATTAATTAAAAAGACCGTAGATTAAAAATAAGTAAGGCATAACATATTTTTAATCTATGTTAAAGCATAATTATTTTTACATAATGAAATTTAGTAAATTATTAAAGTAATTATTATTTGTGGCTTTTATTTATTAAATCAATTAAGAACATAATCTCAAAACAAACTTTAATGACAAGAAAGATCAACGTTTCAGGTCCATCATGGAACCATTCTCAAGATCAAGTAAATTGAAAAAACTAAAAACAAAAATGCCAAGCAGTGACAGGAAGTAAGTAATTAATTTACATATCAATAGGGCCTACTGTGTGGAGCCACAATGGAGCTAAGCAATAATTAGCCCTTCTTAGCAGATTAACTAGATAAACAGTTTGGCTTTGACTGAATCAGTTTGTATGTTAAGTGTAGGTTTCAGTCCTTTGATCCAAAGCATTTCTTTAAATAAACAATTAAACTTGGATTTGCACTTAGATAAAACCTTGAAATAATTAACAGTTTCAGTAGCACTAATATAATGATCTTTTAAATGTTGTCCTATGTTACCTTTACTGTGCATAATCATTTCTTATTTAAAATAGAATTATTTAATCAATCAGTAACTTGTGTTTTTTTTAATGAAATTAATGTTTTTCTTTAAAAAGATGCTACCCAAGGCGAGACTTTTTTTATACCTTGTTTGACAAACTCGCCGACTATTGTACATTTTACTGTACTGTTTTTCCGATTTAAAATGTTTGTGCTCGTTAGCAATTTAGATTTGTTGTTGATGTTATCCATGAC